ACGGCGATTTATCGAACGTATCGCCGGTGAGGATTGGCTAATTTGGGCATCGATACGAAAACTGGTTGTGGCGCCCAATGGTACAATAACACCTGTTTCACCGACCAGGGGTCTATTAATGGGAGTGCCAAGATTTACTTTGAATCCGGCACTATTACTTGTCGAGCAGTAGTATTCATCAACTTCGGCATTTAGGATGACAGAAACGCCCATGGCGATGCCGGTACCTAGGAAAGAGAGGAGGGATAAGGTGTTCTAAAAATGTATTGGATTGTGGATGTGAGAGAACTTACCCAATGTTGGCCGTGGATAGTATTTAGGGGGTAAATTTGCCTGATAACCCATTTCAGGATTCCAATCAACCGGTACAACATCAGGACCAGTTTTAAGGCCGTCCAGGGTGCGAAAGCTGGAATATTAGGTTTAAATTTAAATAAAAATATATTTTAGGGTAGATTTTTCAGGTGGATTTTTGAAAAATATTTTTTCAGGGTATAACCCAAGGCGTGGATTTTTTAAAAATATTTTTCAGGGTATAAGCCAAGGCGTGGATTTTTTAAAAATATTTTTCAGGGTATAACCCAAGGCGTGGATTTTTTTAAACATATTTTTCAGGGTATAACCCAAGGCTTGGATTTTTTAAAAATATTTTTCAGGGTATAACCCAAGGCGTGGATTTTTTAAAAATATTTTTCAGGGTATAACCCAAGGCGTGGATTTTTTAAAAATATTTTTCAGGGTATAACCCAAGGCGTGGATTTTTTAAAAATATTTTTCAGGGTATAACCCTAGGCGGGAATTTTTTTAAAAATATTTTTCAGGGTATAACCCTAGGCGGGAATTTTTTTAAAAATATTTTTCAGGGTATAACCCAAGGCGTGGATTTTTTAAAAATATTTTTCAGGGTATAACCCAAGGCGTGGATTTTTTAAAAATATTTTTTCAGGGTATAACCCAAGGCGTGGATTTTTTAAGAAATATTTTTTCAGGGTATAACCCAAGGCGTGGATTTTTTAAAAATATTTTTCAGGGTATAACCCAAGGCGTGGATTTTTTAAAAATATTTTTCAGGGTATAACCCAAGGCGTGGATTTTTTAAAAATATTTTTCAGGGTATAACCCAAGACGTGGATTTTTTAAAAATATTTTTCAGGGTATAACCCAAGGCGTGGATTTTTTGAAGATATTTTTTCAGGGTATAATCCAAGGCGTGGATCGTTTAAACATATTTTTCAGGGTATAACCCAAGGCGTGGATTTTTTGAAGATATTTTTTCAGGGTATAATCCAAGGCGTGGATCGTTTAAACATATTTTTCAGGGTATAACCCAAGGCGTGGATTTTTTGAAGATATTTTTTCAGGGTATAATCCAAGGCGTGGATCGTTTAAACATATTTTTCAGGGTATAACCCAAGGCGTGGATTTTTTAAAAATATTTTTCAGGGTATAACCCAAGGCGTGGATTTTTTAAACATATTTTTCAGGGTATAACCCAAGGCGTGGATTTTTTAAAAATATTTTTCAGGGTATAACCCAAGGCGTGGATTTTTTAAACATATTTTTTTCAGGTTATAACCCAAGGCGTGGATTTTTTAAAAATTATTTTTTAGGGTATAACCCAAGGCGCGGATTTTTTTAAACATATTTTTTTCAGGGTATTACCCAAGGCGCGGATTTTTTTAAACATATTTTTTTACCTACTTTGCTTTATATAAAAAATTGGGATGCAATGTGTTGAAGGCACAGCAGAGACCCTCATCGGTTACAACTTCACGAAACAGCTCACTGCAATTGTAGGCCACGGAACCGATTATACAGGCAATCATCATACGAGAGCAGGGTTGCGAATGCTGAAACGAAGAGCTTCACTTCAATACCTGCCGTTTCATGATCCTCCCCTATACTTACGGCAATAATAAATTTCGCCAGCTCCAAATCATTATTTTTAAATTCCTTCAAATTAGCCTTTTTACTATCATAGGCAATTTCCGAATAACATAAATACTGGAGGAGAGCATCTTCCTTGGAACCTCTGGCAAAAAATCGGAAAATTAATAACCCTCTTTTTTTCTAAAAACACAATCCCCTTACTTGGTGTAATTAACCACCTTCGAATACATGACCTGATTCATGTTACACAAAACCAAGGCGGGTAGTGGTAGCTTCTCTATCGATGTCGGCTGTGGACTTATGCCAATCATTACTGGGGTACTATCCCATTTGGCATAGATGTTGACGGTCAGATGCACCACCGCAATGAAGCACAACACAAAGGCACTAAAGAAAAATAATCTTGGGGAAATATTTCTAATTGAAAGGAGATCTGCGATTTTTTTCTAATTTTCCTGTACTTACTTTTCCCAATTTGTCAGAGAGCTGTCGGCCAAATACTTGAGGCCATGTAGGGTGGTCTCTTGCAGATATTTCTTTAAATTTCCCAGACAATAGATTTCCAATTGTTTTCTCCGTTTTAGTTTTCTTCGTTGAGTTGGATAGGCCATGTTTTCAAGGTTCGATGGTTCAAAGGTAACTGAGTCCATATGCTTCAATGGAAAATAAATTGCTTTTTTTTTTGACAGGGTGGAGGGGAGTGGGTTTTCTTTGGTAAATGACCGAAGTTAATGATCTTTTCATTTGTTACGTTAATTACATTTTTAATTAAGCAATTAATTAATTAAAATTTAGGTTCGTTTTGAGAATATGCATAGAATCACTTTCTTAGTCGATTTATGCATGTCCGCCAGTCGATTTACGTATGTCCGGACGTCCATGTATTTTTGTGAACAAAGTACAGGTCGCATTTATAATGCGATTTGGATGAAATTTGGCATAGGTCACTTATTTGACCCAAGGACGAACCCTATTGAAATTGAGAACAATCAGTTCAGATTTCGATATAGCTTCCATATATATTTTCGTCCGATTTAAGGTAAATGGGGCCCCAAAGTCCCTATATATCACTCGATTTGCATGAAATTTGGCAGAGCGTAATGAATTAGGTCTAGAATGATGTGTGTTAAGTTTCCTGAAAATCGGTTCAGATTTCGATATAGCTCCTATATATATTTTCGACCGATTTAAGGTAAATGATGTTCCAAAGTCCCTTAATATCTGCCGATTTGCACGAAATTTGGCACAGAGTAATGAATTAGGTCTAGAATGATATGTGTTAAGTTTCCTGAAAATCGGTTCATATTTCGATATAGCTCCCATATATATTTTCGTCCGATTTTACGCAAATGGTGCACCAAAGTCCCTATATATCCTTCGATTTGCACGAAATTTGGCAGAGCGTAATGAATCAGGCCTAGACTGATGTGTGTTATGTTTCGTGAAAATCGGTTCAGATTTAGATATAGCTCCTATATATATTTTCGTGCGATTTAAGGGAAATGGTGCACCAAAGTACCTATATATATTTCGATTTGCACGAAATTTGGCAGAGCGTAATGAATCAGGCCTAGACTGATGTGTGTTAAGTTTCGTGAAAATCGGTTCAGATTTAGATATAGCTCCCATATATATTTTCGTCCGATTTAATGTAAATGGGGCACCAAAGTCCCTACATATCTTTCGATTTGCACGAAATTTGGCACAGTGTAATGAATGAGGCCTAGAATGATATGTGTCAAGTTTCGAGAAAATCGGTTCAGATTTAGATATAGCTCCCATATATATTTTCGTCCGATTTAAGGTAAATGATGTTCCAAAGTCCCTATATATCTTTCGATTTGCACGAAATTTGGCAGAGCGTAATGAATTAAGCCTAGAATAATGTGTGCTAAGTTTCGTGAAAATCGGTTCAGATTTAGATATAGCTCTCATATATATTTTCGTCCGATTTAACGTAAATGGTCCACCAAAGTCTCTATATATCTCTCGATTTGCACGAAATTTGGCATAGGGTAATGAATTATGCCTAGAATGATGTGTGTTAAATTTCGTGAAAATCGGTTCAGATTTAGCTATAGCTCCCATATATATTTTCATCCGATTTAAGGTAAATGGTGCACCAAAGTCCCTTAATATCTTTCGATTTGCACGAAATTTGGCACAGCGTAATGAATTAGGTCCAGAATGATGTGTGTTAAGTTTCCTGATAATCGGTTCGGATTTAGATATAGCTCCCATATATATTTTCGTCCGATTTATGGTAAATGGTGTACCAAAATCCCTTAATATCTTTCGATTTGCACGAAATTTGGCACAATGTAATGAATTAGGCCTAGAATAATGTGTGCTAAGTTTCGTGAAAATCGGTTCAGATTTAGATATGGCTTCTATATCTGACCCAAAATGACCCAGAATTTAGTATCGATGCAGAATGACATGTTTATGGATCCAATTTCATTTTACTGGTCCTTTAAAAATGCCACGTCTGTTAGGATTCATCTGTTGAATATACCCAAAGTGGTGAAGGGTATGATATAGTCGTCCGCGTCCGACTTTACTAATTTCCTTACTGGTTAAAGCCTGAATTTATAGCCTAAAGATTTTTAAAAAAATTTTACTCCTAAGGTTTGCTGTTAGAAAAAAATATATTTATGTATGTGTGTGTGCATGTTTACATTTTCTATTAGATTTGAATTAAACTGAAAGAAAACTACATTTCACGTCTGCTAGGTTGCCGGGGGGGTTCTGTCAGTGCCACCACGACATAATGTAATTTTGATCGATAAACTTTTCGGGGTTTTTCACCAACAATTTGTTGCAATTGTTTGCTTGAATGGATGGCATTGGAGGCGCAGGGGGGCTGGGAGATGGAAATGTAAACACTGTTGTGTGCATCACTTGACAGCTTACCTAGGAGACAGAAGAATCCGTTCGCCCTCCTCACTACCAAAAAAACACACTCACACACATCCACAACCAGAATTTGGCAGAACGACGAACAAACTTTGTTTGGGATAAAAGCCCGCCTTTGCATTACTAGAGGTGCTTGTGATTGTAGGTATGTATGGGAGTGTATGGGAGTGTGTGTGTGTGGGTGCGTATGTGTGTTTGTGCAGTGCATAGTTGAAGGCTAAAGTCTTAATGCCTTGCCTGCTGTTCCGACTGCTGTTCGTGATGTTGTTGGCTGTTGTTGTTCGTTGCCTGCTGGTGGTTTTGTCGTTGTCATGCCTTGCCAATCCTTTCCTTGAGTTCGAAATATGGGGGTGGGGTACGGTGCGGTGTGTTGTGTTGTGGTTCGCTTCACCACTCAGTTTCGTTTATTGTTAAAACAAACTTTGTCTAGCATTGATATCTTCAATCCATAATAAAAGAAGGAAGACAACTTGTATGGCATTGGCGGCGGAGAAGGCAAAGAATGTGATATGCACTTACTCACGTACGCACAGCCACACACGCACACTCTGACATACATACTGACAAAATTTTAACCTATTTATCTAATAAATATAAGAGCCTGGGGGTGATATGAGACAGGTTGAGAAGATTCGAAGTAAAATTATAAATAAAAATCAGGGATAATCGGGGTTTTTTAATACAGGCACTAGGTGGCGTATGACTACTGACGTTATGTATACGCAACAGATCGTACTGGCGTATTCCTAAGTTCATTAGTCATACGCCACCTAGTCGTTGGCTTAAAAAACTCCGCCTAGGACTTAAGTTATTTATTTGGAGATCTTTCTGAGTCTATGTCACATTTGTTGCGGATTTTCTCATATCTTTCCAAAAGAGTTATAAGACAGACAGGATACCATTTGGTACACCATTTACATAAAATCGGACGAAAATATATATGGGAGCTATATCGAAATCTGAACCGAATTTCAGGAAACTTAACCCACATCATTCAAGACCTAATTCAGTACGCTGTGCCAAATTTCGTGCAAATCGAAAGATATATAGGGACTTTGGTCCACTATTTACCTTAAATCGGACGAAAATATATATGGGAGCTATATCTAAATCATTACGCTATGCCAAATTTCGTGCAAATCGAAATATATATACGGACTTTGGTACACCATTTACATAAAATCGGACGAAAATATATATGGGAGCTATATCTAAATCTAGACAGATTTTCAGGAAACTTAACACACATCATTCTAGGCCTAATTCATTACGCTTTGCCAAATTTCGTGCAAATCGAAAGGTATATAGGGTCGTTGGTACACTATATACCTTAAATCGGATGAAAATATATATGGGAGCTATATCTAAATCTCGACCGATTTTCAGGAAACTTAACACACTTCATTCTAGGCCTAATTCAGTACGCTATGCCAAATTTCGTGCAAATCGAAAGGTATATAGGGTCTTTGGTACACCATTTACATTAAATCGGACGAAAATATATATGGGAGCTATATCCAAAACTGGACCGATTTTCAGGAAACTTAACACACATCATTCTAGACCTAATTCATTACGCTATGCCAAATTTCGTGCAAATCGAATGATATATAGGGACTTTAGTACACCATTAACACTAAATCGGATGAAAATATATATGGGAGCTATATCTAAATCTGAACCGATTTTCTGGAAACTTAACACACATCATTCTAGACCTAATTCAGTACGCTGGGCCAAATTTCGTGCAAATCGAATGATATATAGGGTCATTGGTACACCATTTACATAAAATCGGACGAAAATATATATGGGAGCTATATCTAAATCTGAACCGATTTTTCGTTCGTCCTTGGGCCAATTAAGTGACCTGTGCCAAATTTCAACCAAATCGGATCATAAATGCGACCTGTACTTTGTTAACAAAAATACATGGACGGACGGACGGACGGACGGACATGCATAAATCGAGTCAGAAAGTGATTCTATGCATATTCTCAAAGGAACCATGGGTCAATCTCGATTATTTTTGCCTGTTACAAACATATGCACAAAGACATAATACCCTGTACCACAGTGTGGTGAAGGGTATAATCAGGGCTATTCGTTTTTTTGTTTTAATCCAGGTGCTAGGTGGCGTATGACTAATGACGTTATGTATACGTTGGGAACATACGTGCGTATACTTTACACCAATAGTCATACGACACCCTATTGCCAAACTAAATTTTCAGAAAGACTTAAATTGTAAATTTTGAGATCTTTTAGAGGAGATAAAAGAAAATTCCAAAGACTATTTGTTAGGGACTGCCTCATACATTTCCTCAACTCTTTTCTTTCTCTCCTTTCAATTGGGTCTCCACTTTCAACACACACACACACAGTTTGCCATCCATCGACACACAATCTCAGTTTCTCTATTCAGCAGGAGGTTCCTTGTGTTGCCTTGCTTTCGCCAAGATGAATATCAAGTTTTGAGTAGACCTCACCAGGCTGCCTGTGAGCCACAACGATGACGACAACTGCGACGAACTATTGTAACAGCTGTAGCAACTGTAGCTGTATCATCATGACCAGCGATAACATGAATGTTCACATTGTTGTTGTTCGTCCGTTCAGACAATAACAATTCTTCATAAATTAAAGGCCAGAACTTGCCAAGGCACTTCTTGTCTATGACCAACCACCATCGCAT